CAGCTCCCCGAGGTGTGCGGCCACTTGGAATATGATTTACTGTGCGTGGAAAGTTCCAGGCGGCTAATGAAGATTCAGGATAGAGGCTGACGGTGTAGTGCCGTCAATTTTGCGGCTGCCGCTCTCCAGCACGTCCCCGCCACTGGGCTGAAGTATTTATTATCATTTCTTTCATCCACGGGAAATAAAACCATCTTCCCGGTGACGCGCGCTGTCACATCCGGAGGAGACGCGCGGCACGCAGCACTCTCAATTAATTAATCCTGAAGTTTCCCGCCCAACTCCGTCTTCTGCCCCCCTGCGTGCTAGGAGGTTGCCAGGTAATTCTTTGCCCAATAAACTCTGGTTGCAGCCACTGTCTCAGGAACTGGGGGTAACGGGAGCAGGAATGGAGGACACTGAAGCAACGGCAGAACTCGGTGGCCTCTCCGTAGAGTTTGCAATGGATGGGAGGGCTTGTAAATACCCCCAGGCGGCTCTTCACTTGAAGAAAACGCAAGGCGTCACTTTCCGGAAATGGGGAGGAGGGTGGGGGGGTAGGCTGAAGGTGCGGTCAGTTTAGAGGTGGACAAGCACGGCTTCTCTGTCCAGAGCAGCCGATTTCATCCGTCCTTTGGTTACCTTTGCTGTGAAGAACCTTTCATTTATTCGCTTTATTTCCTGTCTTCATTTCATTCTGTCTTAGTGAGGCTGGCTCCCAGATGATGTTCTCAAGGGCAGATAGGTTCCCCCCTAATTGATTGTGTGGCCTTCTTCGAAGAGGAGCGCCACTTCATCTTGTATTGTCTTGGGTTTGGGGGCTGCTATTTTTTTCATGGAAGGTGCTCGGAGCTTTCTTGACGAGCCCGAAAAGAAGCTCCAAGACCACCGGGCGTGTACCTAATACCGGAGTTAAAAGAGTCGTTGTCATTTAGGTAGTGGAGATTACTTAATCCAGGCTGGAAAAATGCATGCTTATTTGCCCATTACGTTCTTTTTTTTTTTTCATAGCATTTTATTCTGCTAATACCACATCTGTAGAGAGCAGACCAGGGGAAACAATTGATTCCTTTTCCCTCGAGATGAGAGTATCTAATTTGAGGAGGATGGCCTTTCCGTATCTGCCGTGCACGCAGGGCTCCGTCCAAGCAGGGCTCCACACTCCCTCTTCTCTCTCCCGCAGTGCGGGGAGCCTGCAAGCTTTCCCTCCTTGGGTAGTTTTGGCGTCTCCCCGTGGTACTGGCTCTCCCACCAGGGCCCAAGGCTTTGGAGAAACCAGGGTGGGGCCAAGGAGAAGGTTCCTCTGCCTTTGCACTATTCCAGTAGTAACCCCGCCCCTGCCACCTGCCTCTGTGTGACTGACCCTTTGAAAGACCAGTCACATGTGTCCACGGGTCCTGAGACATAAAAGCAGCAACTCAAGAGCCAGGTACGCTTGTTACTACTAGTTATTCCTCAAGACATTGCCAACTTGGGCCAAGAGATAAGGAGTTAAGGCACTTGCCTTGCACTCAGCTGACCTGGCCTGGGTCCTCAGCATCACAGAAGGTCTCCCTCCAGGCCCTCTCCCCTGCCACTGCCACCCATCAGCACCTCCTGCAGTGACCCCTAAGCCCATAAGCAGGGGTAGGCCCTGACCACCGCCAAGCATGGCCCAAAAACCAGAAAGATTTTTTTTTTTGCTTTTTGGGTCACTTCTGGCGATGCTCAGGGGTTCCTCCTGGTTCTGCACTGCAGGAATTACTCCTGGCAGGGCTCACGGGACCATATGGGATGCTGGGAATCGAACCCGGGTCGACCACGTGCAAGGCAAACACCCTACCTGCTGTGTTATCACTCCAGCCTCCAGAAAGAAATTTTAACTTAAAAAAAAATATATATATATATATAATCAAAATCAAGGATCTTCTGGCTTGGTCAGAGGAACAGATAATTTTCTGTCCTTCCCCTCTGCCTGTTAGCATCATCCTCACCCCATTCTTCCGACACCCTTGGGCCAGGCCTGACTGTCCTTGCTTTCCCCTGCTGCCCCCGGCCCATGCTCTCTCTTGGTCCAGACACAGAAAAGCTCCTGCCTTGGGCCCCTTCCCTTCTTTCGGCCTAAAGCCTCCTCCCCACAGCACCCTCCTGCCACACCCCTGGAGCCCCTCGGTTTGCTCTTGCCTCATTCCCCTTCTCTATCAGGCCAGCGAGTGGCCAAGTGACTTAGACATTCAGCCGCCCTAGTGGACGAGGCTGGGTCATGGGAAGAGCCGGGACTCCCTACCCAGGTTTTGGGTTCCTCTCGCCCCTTTTCTGCCCACCGACAGTGGAGGAGTAAGAGAAAGCCGCTTGATTTTTTTCCCCATCAACTATAACAACCCCAGCACCACACAGGGTACCCCACACACCAGTGGGTTTGGCCGCAAACCCTCCCACCCACCACCAAAAGCCTCAAAGTCAGCAAGTCCCAGCTTTCACCGCCATCTCCCCTCTGCTATTCAGCTACCCGTGCTCCAGCTCCTGGGGCCTTCTCGTGGCCTTCCCGCTCATTGTCACATCCTGCCCTTCCTTCTGTAACTCCTCCCTCGACTCAGTAGCTGCACACGCCTTGCTAGACACGCAGGCTTCCCCTGGGGCTCCGGGCGTGTGGCCATGGGGATGCCCAGCCCAGCCTCCACACCCTCCACGCGGGCTCCCACTGCATCCCTGTCACCCAGAGCCCCAGCTCCTTAAAGCACGTCCTCTCGCTCCCTACACACTACGGCCTTGCCTCCTCACATCAGCAGCACCCTGGAAGGCAGGAGAGACCCCGCACCTGGCTTGGAGCATCCCCTCTGCTCTGCTCTGCTCCGCCCCGCCTGTCCTGCCCCGGCACAGCCAAAGGACCAGCCAGGGCGCAGGTGACCCAGGGCGCAGGTGAGCCACTTCCATTTTCCCAGGGTAGAGTGGCTGTGTGTCTTCTTTTGGGAGCTCACATGTTTTCAGAGTGACAAAAAACTCCGCCAAATACATACTCCTTAATACCTGTGCCAGACCCCAATGGGATTATTGAAGGTAATCCCCCCCCCCATGCATGCCTCCCCCACACACACACACATACTGCGACGTCCATGGACATGAGATGGTTGTGAAGAGATTATTATCTCAATTGCAGCACACAGTGGCAGGAAGTGGCTATCCCTGGAGCCTCCACCAGGTCAGGGCAACCACCGTGGGCAAACCAACACTAACATTACTGAGAGTCGTTGACCTGACCCCGCCCCTCCCCCCAAGGGCTGGCACATACTTTGAATGCTGGAAGCATAATCCAATCCCTGATATACTACTTGGGGCCCAGAGCATAGCCAAGAGTATCCCCTGAGCACAGAGTTGGGAGTTGCACACACACACACACACACACACACACACACACAGAGCCAAGTAGGGTCCAAAGGCAAAGCTAGAATGAATAAATGAATGAATGAAACCATCCTCGTGGCTCTTTGTGGTTCCATGGCTGGGCCAGGCTGATACAGGGCTGCCAGGGTGCCTCTCCTTCCTGTCAGCTTGTGACAGGGTCATCTGCCAGGGAGCCTGGAACAAGGGTGTGGGCTTGAGCCTGTCACCCAATATTCCCCCACGAGGAGGGCCATCCCTCCCCAAGGGCATTTGCCACTCCGGCTGTTCAGTTTTGTTCAGACCCCTTAGGATTCTTAGAAAAGAAGATTCTGGAAATGAGCTGCCACGTCGATACCATCCGAGCAGATCTGCTCACTAATTTCCACTTTTCCGGAAGAGTGAAAAAAGAGGCGGGGAGGGGGGGGGTTGGTGGAAAACCACCCATTTTAGCCAACTTTATTTTTAGAAAAGCATCTTTTCAGACAGACATCTCCTTACTTATTACAGACATAAATACATGCGTTCAGACAAATGAATCCACGGGAGAACCGTAGAGAATAATTGGCACATCACTTCAGGATGCTTTGTCAGTTACTGGAGGAGTTTGGTGTCTCTAACTTTCATCTTTTCCATTAAAATACTCAGGCAGCCTTGAGTACGTGAAGCCCGTAATATTTCAAACCATCTCCGTGGATCTGTTAGTTTTGCTTGTCAATTTAATTGGTGGCTTTAGGACACTGGGTGGCTTGTTAGGCTGCACACGGAAAATGTGGGACTGGCAGAGGGTCCCACGTGCCAGGCAGTGGGCACAGAGACCGGGCGGACCCCGGGCGGGCTCCATCCACACCAACCTCACCCCGCCATGCCATCGCGGCTTGGCATGGCAGCTGCTGGGAGCTACAGAGCGGCTTGTTCTCTGCCGTTGTTTTCCTTCCACGTCCACAGAAGTGGACTTCCACGCTGCACTTTCCACTCTGCGACGTTTTTTCCAGCCACCTTCTCATTCGATTCTCAGAGCTTCCTTGTGCCAACTGATTATTCCCCCTCTTTAGAGCAAGTGGAAGGAGAGAAACAGAGACAGAGGGAGAGAAAGAGAGAGAGAGAGAGAGAGAGAGAGAGAGAGAGAGGATAGAGAAGAGAGAGAGAGAAGAGAGACGATGGGTTTGTGAACTGGCCCGAGATCACCGGGAAAATCGACCTGCCGAGAAGCAGAGGACCAAGCCTGCATATTCCAAAGCAAACCAAGTCCCCAAAGCCAGATGGGGGTGGCGTGAGGAAGCCTTGGGCCCCTCGTTTCCACCTCCCCTACCTGCCTTTGGGGAAAGGAGCCCTAGGGCTTTATAGAGCACTAGAGGCCAGAAGCAGAGAGTGTCAGAAGCAGGACCTGTCCCCGCTGCCCCTAAAGACCAGAGCTGGCCATCTGCTCAGAGCGCATTCTCTATGTCCTCGAGGCCCAGCTAAGCACATGTCCCACGTCCACCCCCGGCCCAGCCCCTCTCTGTCTTCTGGCTCTCTCCGCTCGGAACACAGAGGCGGTGAACTCCTGACTTCCCAGCTCCGTGGATCTGCCGGGACCACTTGCCCTCAGCTGCTGGGAGGTGCGCATCCCAACGGCCTGTGCGTCCCGAAGGCCACTGAGTCCCCGCCTGGGTCTCTTTCAGATGATGTCGGTCCTCATGAGCTCCGTTGTCTTTGAAGACTGCCGAAACCAGTGGTCAGTCTCCAGGCCTCTCCTGGGGCTCATCTTGCTCAATGAGAAGGTGAGTGTGGCAGGAGGTCCCTGGCACAGGGTCGCTGGTAGAGAGTCAGTGGCAGATGGTCATCGGCAGAGGGTCGCTGGTAGGGTCATTGGCAGAAGGTCACAGACGAGGATCACTGGCCGGAGGTTGCTGTCCACCAGACCGCTGACTGCAGCTGGCCCCGCACGGCCCTTCCCCATCACCTCATCTCTCTGTCCTCACGCTCCTTGACCCAAAGCCCATGCCCTGGCCGGTGGCTCCTCCCAACTGCTGCCAGCCGTGCCCCGCCCCAGGGCACCCATGGGCCCTGTGCCGAACCTGTTTTCTCCCTGAAATCCCCAGTGCCTGGGACGGTGGCGGCAGCCCCTCAGGACCCCCCGGGACGGCACCCAGGGCCCGGTCCCGAGACGTGCCATGCACCCGGCCCCCTGGCCGTCCCCCCAGGACCGCCGCCGCCTCCTCCTCGGCACCCGGCCCGTCTCCACGGCAGTCGGCGGGAACAGTGCATTACTGCTCGGGAGAATGAATTGTCTATACAATAAGATAGTACTGGGAGAAAGACAGTGAGATTAGAGGCAGCCGCATACATTAAAATTCAAACTGAAATCCCAGCCTTGGAAGGAAACTAATAGAAGAAGAAAATATATCAAAAAGAGAAGAGCTGTCTCATCATTCACCTGTGCTGAAGTATCCAATTTTAGCCACATTCAATAGCACTGTCATTCATCTTCCCGCGGTGTTATTGTGATTTAAATCCAAGCTCTATAAAAGAGAGCAGTTCTTTTAAAATGATTGAGAGGGAATAAGGGCAAATTCAGTGTTTAGAAAAAGCTTATGACATCACAATATTATACTTTACTGATGGAGGCAATATTTCATGGTTTGGGATGAAAAACTAATAATTTTCTATTTGGTGTGAGTCACTGCATCATTATAAAAGGGAAAAATAAGTCGTTTTGTGCATTCCCAATCTTGTTCGGGAAGACACTGGTTTAAGTGTAATGCCGCTGATATATAGTATTTAAGTATTAGTCTGACTACATATTAATTATGTGTGTTTTTGATGTGAGCTGTTTTAATGTATGATAGAAATTAAATATCATGCTGTTTGAGCTTGGAAGGATAAACACATGACAGGCAAAATGCTGTCTTGGTGCTGAAATTACACCGTGTGCAGTGATTAGGGCTGTGTTTATCGGGAGAATTTGTGTGTGTTTAGCAGGCCACAGACATGGAGGAGGAGGCAGGGACGAGAGATACCCTCCTTAGCACCCAAAAGCTCTCCCGGAGCTCAGCAGGTGGACAGGCCAGAGCCGTGTGAGGGGTGACTGGCTGAGCCCACAGAGGCCCCAGGGAGCTCCCTCCTGCCTTGGGTCACCTGCAGGAGTGGTCTCCTTGCACGCTTACGGTCAGTCCCTCCCACAGCCCGGGAGGCCCTTCCTCTCTCTGCCTTCCTGGGACCAGTGGAGATGTGGGTTAGGAAGACCCGGGTGTGCTGCGTCCCCCACGGAACTGGATAGGGACTCTACGAGCAACAGTAGAACAATGATACCAAGTGGTGTGTGTGTGTGTGTGTGTGTGTGTGTGAGAGAGAGAGAGAGAGAGAGAGAGAGAGAGAGAGAGAGAGCGCGGCAGATACTGTAGTCTGTACCTAGGAATGTATCTCTCCGAAGCTCTTCCCCAAAGTCTGAGTAGGGCTTGCCGGCCGGGCCCCTGGGCCTGGGTCTGCGGGCTGAACCTGACACTGACGCTGGCTGTCATCTCCCTGCAGTACTTCAGTGAGCTCAGGGCCAGCCTGATAGGCGCCCAGCCGCCCCCCAAGCAGGAGCTGCTCGCACAGTGCTTCCGAAACCTGATGGCGGGAGTGGAGCAAAGTCTCTCGGTCAAGAACAGAGACAGGTGAGCCAGGACCCATCACTTAGCATCCGGGGGCGGGGGGGTGGGGCAGGCTGTGTCTGTGGAGAACGAGGCTATGGACTGTACATGCTGTGTCACGGCCGTCGGGGGTCCCGGAGCCCCAGATCCGGCAACCGTGACTTGCTTCGAAGCAGATGCTAGGCTCAGGGCAGGGACTCCAAGAGGAAGAGGATGATGAAGCCCGCGCCTTTGAGCAGCCTAGAATCCACAGGAGGGGGGAAGCAGAGCGACGGAACGAAAAGTCAGGAGGAGGAAAGCTCAGATCTGCTCGGAGGGACTAGGGGCTTCATGGCACAGCGTGGCAGGAGGATTTCACCTTACACCCACAACCTGGGCTCTCCGGGCTACCGTGCAGGAACTAAGGCAGTCAACACCTCTGTTTTCTCCATGTATTATTTTCTATCTCTGCCAAAAATGGAGATGGGTGTTTGTATTGTTTAAATGGCCGGACATAAGTGCTGGAGAAATAGGATGGTGGGGAAGGCTGGCCTTGCACACACCCGACCCAGGTTCCCCAGCACCCCATATGTCCCCTCAACCCCACAGGAAGTGATCTCTGAGTGCAAGAGCCAAGAGTAGGCCCTGAGCACTGCCAAGTATGGCCCCCCCAAAGCAAAATATTACATTAAATTAAAATAAACGACCAGATGTAATAGGCATGGTGCTTAAGGAGACGTAAGGGGGAGAAACCCAAGCTCACTAGCTGGTCCTGCTTTCTTTCATTCATTCATTCATTCATTCATGTCACAGAGTAAGTAGACTATGAGGTACAGTTGGGAACTCACCTGGAAGGGCTTTGCCCTCACAGAGATTCAGTGAAGTAAGCGGGCAGCCACATGGAAGAAGAAGACGGTCTCTGGGGAGAACCCTGCCTGCATCTGGCTAAGACAAGCATGGTGACGCTGGCCTGGGCATGTCATAGCATGTCCCTTGTCCACTTGCTCCATGCCAGACCCCCCCCCCCCACACACACACACACACACCTAAGACAGAGAGCAAAACCTCTACAGCCAGTCATGGAAGAGACTTAGTGACTGGGACCTCCCGGTGCCCTGGGGATCTGAGTCCCACACCCCAGCCACTCCGCGGAAAGACATTAGATTGCCCCCAAGTCCCTGCGTCACCCACACAGACATTTCACAGCAACACAGCCGGCAGGCTCACGGTCTGGGTCTGACTATACCACTGGCGCTATCCCCGCAGTCTCAATAGTAATTCCCAGGCCTGGAGCCCCAGGAACCCAGACAAGAGGCTGAAGTTCATGAGAGAGACCCCCAGATGCAAGCAGGACTCGAACTCACTGCCTTCGCTTTCATACAATGAAAATACTACTCTGACAAAGGTATATGATAATTAATACGTCAGTCTGACCCAGAGCCTGGCACATAGCTCCAGCCCCTTTCTTTACACTTGGTCTTAGTCCAAACGCTGAGAGCCATGCTTAAGCCCCTTCCTTATATTTCTTACCATCAACTGTAATTTGACTTTAAAAGTGCTTTAATGGGGCTGGAGCGATAGCACAGCGGGTAGGGCGTTTGCCTTACACGCAGCCAACATGGCCGATCCAGGTTCGATTCCCAGCATCCCATATGGTCCCCCGAGCACCGCCAGGAGTAATTCCTGAGTGCATGAGCCAGGAGTAACCCCTGAGCATCGCCGGGTGTGACCCAAAAAATTTTTTTAAAAAAGTGCTTTAAAAGGCTGGAGAAATAATACAGTGCTAACCGTGCACGCACCCAACTTGGATCCAATTGCCAGTATCCCATAATGATCCCCCAAGCACCGCCGAGGGTCATCCCTGAACACAGAGCCGGGAGTAAGCCCTGAGCACAGCCAGGTTTAAATGGAATAACTACACAGCTGGAGAGAAAGTATACCAGGGAGGGACCTTGTCTTGCACGCAGCTGACCCGGGTTTGATCCGCCAGGGGTAATTCCCTAGTGCAGAGCTAGGAATAAACCCTGAGCATTGCCGGAAGAGGCCCCAAAACAAACAAAAATGTACAATTTTAAAAACTCACCCTTGGAACTGGAGCAATAGTACAGAGGGCAGGGCGTCTGCCTTGCACGTGGCCAACCCAAGTTTAACCTCTGGCATCCCATATGGTCCCCTGAGCAGAGCCAGAAGTAATTCCCGAGTACAGAGCCAGGAGTAACCCCTGAGCAGCATCACCGGTGTGACCAAAACACACACACACACACACACACACACACACACACACACACACACTTAAAAAGAGTGTACTTGGTGGTAATCCTTGTTCTCCAGGATGCAGAAAGGAGAGAGGGTGCTAGTGATAGAAAGTAGCAAGGAAGGAGGGACTGAAAGAATGAAGGAGAAGGGATATAGGCAAGCATCTTGGCGCTCTCCCGAGTCTGAGTCCCACACAGGCATAATCCTCCAGGGGCTCCTGCAGACCAGCCCTCGCCTCTGCCCCAGGCCCTCCCTCTCCTCTTCTCTCTACAGGTTCACCCAGAATCTCTCCGTGTTCAGGAGGGACGTGGCCGAGGCCCTGCGCAGTGACGGCACTTCAGAGGCCTGCAACCTGGACATGATGAGCTGACCGGCCTGGGCGGGCTGCGTGGTCCAGCAGCCAAGCAAGAGACTCTTGGGGGCTGGAGCGATAGCACAGCGGGGAGGGCGTTTGCCTTGCACGCGGCTGACCCGAGTTCGATTCCCAGCATCCTGTATGTTCCCCCGAGCACCGCCAGGAGTAATTCCTGAGTGCTTAACCAGGAGTAACCCCTGTGCATCACCGGGTGTGACCCCAAAAGCAAAAAAAAAAAAAGGAGACTCTTGTTGGTCTAAGTTCCAGGAAACGGGTTGGTTCAGTGCACCCGGAGAGATATATTTTTCAAGACAACAACCACCACAAAAAAAAAAAAAGAAAGAAAGAAAAGAGAGCCCTACCCTTTTTTTTTTTTATTTTATTTTTTATATCACTCTGGCCTATTTCTCCAGATTTATATTGGTGTACAAACAATGTAAATTCAGTCTTTGCTGGGAGAGGTAGAAAAAAAAAAGCAAAGGACGTTTTCAGTCTTCCTACAGATTTTCATTATCTTTGCTCTCATGATGATGAGAGGGTGTAAAAGCAGCGTTTAACCAAAGAACTCAATAAAGCAGGTTTGTGCCTCCGTGTGTCTTGCTAGCTCCACGCAGTCTTCACCGTGGGTCCCGGACCGAGTGCCCCGCATTTGGCAGCGTGAAGCTGCTCACGTGTTCCCCGTGAGTCTGGAGGCAGCCGCCCTGGGGGGCGGGAGGGCCGCAGGTTGGTGCTGAGCTGTGGGGCCTGCGACGCGCGCCTGGGAACGGCAGCCTCCCACAGGGCTGCACACGGCCCCGGCCCTGCACCAGCAGCATCTGATAAAGTTGAGAGACAGTAACGCAATTAAATGACTTACAAACGACGTTTGCTTTCTCACTGGCATAAATCTGAAGTGGTTCGGTCTAGAAGAATTAAGCTGTGCAATTACTGCCTGCAGAGATATTTCTTCGGGAGGAGCTGGGTAGGGCCCGGCCAGAAGTTCTGTGTGGTGCCAGCAGCCAGGCCTTCCGCCTCCCTTTCATTTCCATGTCATGCAAAAAGGGGCCTCATTAAAGCAAGTCCAGGAAGCGACTCTGCCTTCTCTGGGGTCCCCAGCACCATTCGAGGCGCCAGAGTGCCGGTCTGCAGGGGGGGAGAATGCGCTGGTTCCTATCCCTCCACCAGGACTCTTATTACTGTTGGGACTGCAACTTAACCCGAGCCCAGGCCATGAAGGAGGCCCTTACCGCGTGTGAGAGCCTGTAACTAGGCTATTAATTTGAGGTTGCCACCATCAAACGCCTTTTGGAGCTCACTGCTCTGTCTTCCTGGTTCAGGCTCGTGATAAATATCGTGCCCTTTATTTCTGATTAGACATGAAAGGTTGGCCTGACTGTTGAAGAAGCAGCCCCGTCTGCAGGCTCCCGTTATAATCTTGTTTCCCAGACTGCTGTTTGTGGAAACCTTTCTTGATGGTTGCATTTCGCAACGGTCTTGTCACATAAAAGCAGAGTCACCCAGCTTTATGTGGGCATGTTTGTCTTCCAGGAGCAAGCCCAAGACAGCAGGAAAAGGTGTGTTCTAGGTAGGACTCTCGCCAGAGAAGTAAGCCTCGGCCACACTCAGTGGCAGTGGGGAAATAACATTTTCCACAAGAAAGACAAATCCTGGACTTTATATAACTGCGGCCAGGAAAAATCTGTGCCAGGAACCGTTTTTGCTCTTCGGGGCTCATCACTGCACACACACCCAAGAACACTCCCGGCTCGCCTGTCCTCTTGGGTCCTGCCAGCCAGGCTGTTGATACTGCACTCTCCTGACATGCGTTCACTTCCCGTTGTCACACGGCCTGGGGTGGGTGGCCGGGGAAGGGCCTGGAGACTTCACCTTGCATAACACTTCTCAGAGGAGGCCATGGCAGGTCACCTCCATCTGCTGCTACGGGAGCGAGGGGAGGGGGAGGGCAGTGGGAAGACACATACCCCATACCCTGGCCCGGGTGCCCCCCACCCATCGTCCCCTCAGCAGCCTCGGGAAGGGAAGCAAGGCCACGAAAGCTCAGCAGTGGGACCCGGCTCGTGTGGACAGGACGGAAGCCCAGTTGTGTCTCTCCTCAAGACAGAGACCCGGGATGGTCCCAGGAAGACCTCGGGCCAGAGAGAGTCACTGCTGACATTCGTGCCACGAGTCTGTTGCTGTGTGACAGTCCCCCTGTGGCGTGGCTTCCATGACACTATATCCCCCACCCCCCCACACATACATTGACTGTTCCCAGGGACAGGGACCCAGAGCTAGGCCTGTGCTCCAGGCCACTCCCAGGCTGCCAGCGGGCTTTCGCTGGCAGGAGCCAGGTCGTCGTGGACAGGTAGGTAGACCGGGAGCTTCGGGAGGGCAGCACACGGCCTGGCTTCTAGGTGCAACTAAGCCATGAAAGCACGGGGCCAGGGGTCTCCAGGGGCCTCGGCAGCAGCCACCCTCTGAGGGCCGGCCCGTCACCCCCACATTGCAGGAGTCGTGGATGCCACAAACCAGGGACTCCAGGACCACCTGCAGAGCTGCCTGCCACCACCCTCTGCTCCGGTCTGCTCCAAAGAGGTTGAGTACCACCGCCAACCCCCATCCCCGCCGGAAACTGAGACTGGAATCCAGATTTTCCTCGGAGGGGCCAGGCGCCCACAGAGGGAAACAGCAGCAAGGGAGCGGGAGGAGCCCCCCCCCCCCCCACTGCTGAGTCACCGCCAGATACCACCGGGACACCCATCAGCCTGGTAAAGTCTGTCTGGGTGTAAGGGAGACTGAGGGCTCTGGGAAGAACTGGAAGGCCAGGATGAAGCCCACATGCCCGGAGCAATGGAGGGTACATAAAGGAGATGGGGGGGGGGGGGATCTACCTTCCACCCCATCACCAGTCTCTTAGCTTCCATTCAGCTGCAGGAAAAGGGGCAGGTGGTCCCACGGGGCCACGTCAACCAGCATGTGCTGAGTGAAAATCCCCACGGGAGGGCGGGGCAGGCACCCCTGGGACACACATGTGGCTCGCGCAGTGAGCACGCGGCCGTGGCTGACAGAGCAGACTGCTGCTGGGTATCCCCCTGCCTGAGCACAATTTCTGCCTTTGACGCCGACCTCGGCACCTGTCCTGCCCATGTTCTAGATGCTTCTGCTGTTCTATGCTTCCCCACCAGTCCTTTCTAGGGCCTATCTGGAAGAGCTCCCAGCCCCTGCTGTGGATGATGAAGGGGGCCGGGGGGAGGCCTCTGGAGCCCACATTCCCTTCCCCTGGCACACATGTTCCCAGGGGCCCCCTCACAAATGCCAAGTTGAGGTCCTTGGGCCAGAGCAATAGGACCGCAGGGAGGGCGCTTGCCTGGCACTCGGCTGACCAGTGTTCAGTCCCTCAAGCCCCACCAGGTGTGCTCCCCCAAGCACAGAGCCAGGAGTAAGCCCTGAGCACCACCGGGTGTAGTCCAAACCCCAAAAATGGCTGAGTGGCTCAGCTGACTCGAGGAGAACCCTACAGTCCAGAGCTGAGTGTGAGAACCAAGTAGGAACTGTGTGCGGGGAGGGATGGGTGGAAAGAACTGTGTGCAGGGAAGGATGGGTGAAAAGCGAGGCTGTAGTACCTGGGACCAGCAGCAGGACGAGAGCTCAGCTCCCTGTGGTGAGGAAGAGGGGAGCAAAGGAGAGAGAGTCGTTGATGGCCTAAGTCCAGGTCCTTTACTTTATTCCCACCAGGTATGTCAGATGCTCTCTGGTTTAATGTGCCCCCATAAGAACCCCCTCTGTTAAGTCGCATCCCCATTTTAGAGATACAACAAGGCAGGCAAACGCAACACCAGTGAGCTGGGACGACTCAAAGTCGGCAGATCTACAAAGAAACTCACGTCTTTCCCACTCTGTCCCCTCAAGCAAGGTCTCTCTCCGCTGGGCTCCAGGGAAAGTTGGACAGGGAGGTGCCGGTGGAACCGTCTAGAACCCCCAGGGGCGGTGGGCAGGGGCAGAGAAGACTGTGCTGGACTGTGCCTGCGGGCTCTGATTCATCCTCCTCCTCCCTGAACTTTATAAAATCATTCGAGAGACTTTTTAATGTTTTATTGAGGTGCAAGTTTACGATGACAGCAAACCTTTTCAAACTACAGCAAGAGTAACCTGCCTCCTTGGCATATTAAAAAATAATGTTAGTGTCGGTTTTTACGTGCCCTAGTTTGGATTGCTGATAAGAGCGCTTCCTTGACAAGATTCTTTTTGAGGTTTACAGAAAGCGTAATAAAATATGTAAGTTACATTTCCACAAACAAAAGCTATAACATAAGTTATTTATAAGCGTGAGATACAAACAGTATCACGATAAATAAACCATAAAGGGTACCTGCAGCATTCATCTTAATGTAATTTGCCCAACAACAACAACAACCAAAAAAAAAAAAGGTGTTTGAAACGAAGTCAAATTTAGTAGCGAAATCTGTCAGGAAGAGAGGAAAGTCACCAGAACACAAAATGGGAAAAATGGCTGGCGAGTGGCCGAGGAAAGGTAGGGTGTGAGGTGGGATCTGGAGGTGCCCAAGAAGGTGTGTGTGTGTGTGTGTGTGTGTGTGTGTGTGTGCACGCATGGCCTTGGTGCTCACAGGCATCAGTCAAGCCCTGCCACCCTGGCCGCGTGACCCCGGCCTCCTCACCTCTGCCCCTGCCCATGGGGAATGGGGTCTCCACCCTTCCTTGTTACACCCACCATCCTCCCCCCACCCCAGAGCCAGCTTCCTCGTGCTCCTGGCCTCCTAGCTAGGCTGCAGCCTCCTCAAGGCCAGAACCTGGACCTGAACCCCCACCCCCACCCCCACACACACACATACACACGCACCAAGGAAGCTTTCAGTCCTTCACTCACCCACCCACCTCTGCCACCCAGAGGCTGGCGAGCAGAAAAAAATGTGACAGAGTCTGGAGGCAAAGCACACAATGGGGCACACAGATGGCAGGGGATGGCAGGGACAGGGAACCCGTGGGGTCACAGACACAGGCAGTGACGAGGTGGCAGACACGGGCAGAGCTGG